TATATGGCGGCGGCCTGTAAATAATCGAGTCTGGACCAGACAACCCAGTGATCAACAGCATGAGCATCAATCTGCGCAACTGGGAACCGATGACATGTGGCAACCAAGTCAGCGAGCCTGACCACCCCATCCCGTTAGTCGCCTCTTACGACAAGCATGGGTTACTGAAGATCAAAATTCTAACCCGAATCTACACGGGTCAATAGTACAGTAATGAAGTCAGATGTATTGCAAATTAAGATATACGCACAAATTATTACAAGAAAAGACATGGACAGGTTTAATTGCTTTTATTTAATGTACAAGCTAAACAAACAAAACTCGAGAGGGAATAATATCCTCATTAATATCCTGTCGTATTAGGAAAGTCATGATGAATATTATTAAATTTATGCATAATGTTAGATATATAGAAGCAGACACACACATCAACATGCAAGGTTCTGTTAGGTCAGTTCTTCGGCCAGGCAGTTAATGGAGACGGACAAGGTGGGAATATATGCTAAATTTCTCAGTTGCGAAACTTGCTTTGATTGTCACAAAGATTGCATGTGGATTTCCATGGACAACAGCTGTCAGACGTGTTCCAGAGGAAACCGAATTTGTAACGATGTCTCCACGTCCTTGCGTGGTCCCGATGGTTGTCTCATATTTAGCTGTCCTGTTGAAATCGTCAAATACTCTGGCCCAGTCTAACTCGATGACTCCCCTCACCACTGTCGCGGTGGGCTCGACACCTAAACCAAAAAAAGTATTATTAATACTCAGCTTATGAATATCATAATATACTTTATTTCAAAAGTTTAGACTCACTAGTGTAAATATAGCCGCTTACTTCAGGCAACTGTTCTAAACTAAATTTTGCAAAATATTCCATAGTGTTTAAAGATACTGTTTACACATGAACTGATGTATTGTAAAACAAATTCGTAACGTTGAAAAGATTATTGTCATGAGTTCAATGAATGACAAAAATCAGTGAAAATTAGCGAAATCTTAACAAAACGCAGTTGTTCACATGCATGATATTTGCTCATGCTTTTCAGCAATTTGATGCATGATCCTCGCGCAATTCATCTGCATAAGGTTTGATTTCACCAAGTTAGTGGAGAAATCAATCTTCGATGTAACCATATATACATCCGTGCATAAAATAAGCACCATCCTGTATTTTTACCAGTTAATTTTGTCTGAAATGAAATTCTAAATTCTTTCAAAAAATGTCCTTCATAATTTGATAGAGCAAGCATTTTACATTTCAAAAACGAAAATATCATTGAAATTACCATGTAATTTAATTAGGATAATTGCCTATATTCAAAACAGGTGTTTTTCTGTCCTAAAACAAGCTATCTTATTTTGAAAAGTGAAAGTAATAATTGATTGTTATCTGGCCTATAAATTCGTTATTTATTGTGAATAGATGAGAGTTTGTAAACTAAGATTTATGGAAAGCTACAGTCAAGCTAATAAAAAGTAAAATTTTAAAATGCATTAAAAGTTGCTCTTCAAACAAAACAAACAGATTTTAGTTGTAATGATCAGTATCCGGCAAGATGAAGTGTTTATTCAATACAATGAACTCAAAATTATAAAAGGAGGATTTATTCCAAAATCTTAGTAATGTGGCCTTTTTCAGTTATTGTCAGTTAGGAATCTGAATTGTTGGAAAAAGGTCTGAATCTTTGACATTCGGGTTCTTCCTCATTTTGCATATTTAAAGCTTATTTGATGTGTAAATGGCATCTTGGTATAAAACAGAATTGTTATTTTCTGTTAAAACTTACTTTAATTGTATAGTTTGAGCAGGAGAGGAATAGTGATGTTGGGTAAAAATTCAGTCCCATTACATTTTCATCAGCATATTTTTTCATAAAGAATAGAAAAGGTTATGGTATTTGTAAAACTGTCAATGGATAAAGCTTCTTTAACTATAGAGTGATTAAATTGATGGCTATACCCTAACTTTACTGTAGCATCACATCTTATTTTCAAACTAGGGTGGTGCTTAATTAATGCACGGATGTATATATACATAACATACAGTGATTGTTTTGAGTGAGACTAAACTTTTGAAAGGAAGTATACTTCCGATATTCATAATGTTTCAAACATTGCTACCAGTGACGTCAACTATCATCATGAGGTGAGGTGAAATTGGGTTTTACGTCGTGCTCATATGACGACGTGCATGCGTGTGTATGTGTATGTGCGCCTGCTTGTACTAGCCCAGACTGAAGCTGGTTTTATAGTGCTAGCCCACTGAGATACCATGCTGCAGTGAAGCATGAATACCCTACTCAGACACATTATACTGACTCCGAGCCGACCAGTCCTTGTTGTACCCATTAATGCCGAGCGCCAGGCAGGGACCAACAAATACCATATTTTAACGTCTTTTAGTATGACGCGGTCGGGGATCGAACCCGCAACCTTCCGCTCTCCAGGCGGACGCTCTAACCACTACACCACGGAGGCGATCAACTGTCATCATGACAATAACAATAAAATCACAGCCCTAATGATGACTTCAGATCCTGCTTCTCCGCTAGGATGTTGTACTGGTGGATTGTCTGGCCCAGACTCGATTAGTTACAAACCGCTGTCATATAGCTTGAATATTGCTGCGTGCATCGTTAAACAACAAACGAACCAACCAACATTGATAATCGAACAGCGTATTTATGCGTACCTGTGGTCTTAGGCGACCGACTGTCGACTGTTACGCTACTGTTGAGGACATTACTGTACTGGCCATGGTCATTCACAGCGCGGACCTGGATGTCATACATCTGTCCATCGTGTAGCCTCAACCCGTCAAGTGTCGCATAGGTCTTCATTCCGGTAGATACCCAGTTTGCCACTGGACTACCATGTTCGAGAAGACGACATTCATAGCTCCCAACCCACGGAGTGTTCGCATCCTGCCATGAAAACTCTACGCGGTCAGTGTATGCCTGGACGTTCGAAGGTGACGATCCTGAAGATATCTTATTGTCCACAAGGACCTTCAAGGAGCCTAGTGGGAGTGCAGGAGGGTGGTATGCAAGACGCAGATGTTCTGATCTGATGACTGTATCCATGTTGACATTGTTGATGCAGCGGGTCCATACGTAGAGAACAGTGTTGTGAGGAACGGGGATGTTCTTTAGTTCGCAGTGTGTCAAGTCCTGTGACTTCTCCCACTTGTGACCATCGTAGGACAGAGGATGTGTTCCTATGAACAGAAAATTGTTTAATTGTAAACTTGATAACTCCTTTTCAAGAATTGGTAGACGTCAACATGGTTATAACATCTGAATATTTTCAGAACGGGACAAAGAGTTCATTTCAAGTAGCCATTCGTATGCAGTTGAACGTATATAGTGCTTTACCCAGCAAGGCACTTGACCATTATTAGTGCATTATTAATGTAATGGATAATTGTACTGCGCACGAGTGAGTGTGTGAGTGAGTTTATTTTTACGCCGCACACAGCAATATTTCAGTTATATGGCGGTGGTCTGTAAATAATCGAGTCTGGACCAGACAATCCAGTGATCAACAGCATCGATCTGCGCAATTGGGAACCGATGACATGTGTCAACCAAGTCAGCGAGCCTGACCACCCGATCCCGTTAGTCGCCTTTTACGACAAGCATAGTCGCCTTTTATGACAAGCCTGGGTTGCTGAAGACCTATTCTACCCCGGATCCTCACGGGTCCGTACTGAGCACGAAGGTAGGTAACACATTACCATATGTACATAAACATGTGTTTATTCCACTTTCTGCATCTTCAACCCGCCAACGCATCATAAGAGAGGCAATGTTTTCCTTTTGATATGGGGCAGTTGCCTCTGAGTGGCTCATAACTGGCGGGGTGTGATCGATAGTGATTGGCTTGGATGTGAAGATGGTTCTGAGGCCAGCATTGTTCTCCGCCATCACTGTGACATGGACAGGGCTACCATGTGGCTCTTCCACCAGAATCATCTCATGGTTGCTGACAGACGTTGGGGACAAGGCACGGATCTGGTACCCTCCCTTGCTGGTTCCCGCTCCAAGCCACACACTTCTCGTGCCGCTTTCCTGATCTATTACCCTGGCACAAACGGCAACAACAGAGGGCCGGATTTGCCAAACTGTGATGCCATTTGTTGGATCGGTGTCGGCAAGGCTTTGACATTTTCCAAGGGTCACATTGAAGGTATGCGATGCATTCGTCCCCGTGATTGATATGGCTATGTTACTCAGGCCAGAATGCGATACCAGGAAGCTATGTGAAGCCTGTACTCCCGAAATTTGTTTCTCAAACATGGCTGGGATTTGAAGTTTCCCAACAGTGAATATCACACGTGACGTATGAATGTCCAAGTCGCCTGTCACTGTCATTTGGTAGAATGTATTCTCCTGCAGAGTTTCAGACACGCGAAGTTCGACAGCGTCGTTTTGACGTGATTGGTACTTATGCGCAGTGAACGCCACCTTCTTGTCAAAAAACGATGTGCACTTAAACGCCTTAGGGGCTGATGTGTCAATCAGTACACTTGGAGACTCAGCTGTGCTGCTGCGAAGCCCCGTGGCGTCAACTGCTCTGACTGCAATGCGATACCTCTTCTTTTCCTCCAATTTCAAATTGTCTATGTTGATTTCATTTTCCATTCCATGATATTTAAACATGGAGTCCAGGACTTGTTCTCCCTCCTTTACAACCGCAATTTCAAACCTCTGAACATAGGAGTGATAGTCTTCAAATCCATGCCAAGAAGCCTTCAGTGTTGTCTTGGATGACTGAAACTCAATATTCTTGTGGCGATCAGTGTTGAAGACTACACCAATTACAGGCGGTTCGTCATCGACTACAAAGCCATCTGACACTGCTGTTGTCTGCAGACCAGCCATGTTGGTTGCCCTGATGCTGACGTAGTATTTCGTACCACTTTCCATGAGTGAATTAATCGTATAGGACGTCTTCTTACCCATGGACGTTGGTTTGATAATGTCATCTCCTACAACACGAGAAAATAATACCGTTTATATTCATGACTGGTCCTCAAAATTAGTATCAGAATTTAAATTGTAGGGCACTGTTTACTTCCCATCACTACATGTAAGGGGAACAGCTGATATGAATTGTATACAAGTCTGTCAAAATTGAATATTTAATTAACGCTGTTCTGTGGGGTATTTAAACCATATCATGTATCAGCTTGGTATCGAAAGAAAAAAATGACATGTTTTTTCACAGAGACGATTGCGACAGACATTAACATTTGCTCTTGAGATATTTTGTACGGACCTTCTGGTGACGTCCCAAGCCACATTTCAAAGCCTTTCAATGACGTTTGCGTGTCATTGAATACTCCGTCCCAGCATGCTGCTATTGTTTGTCTAGTATCGAAAAATTCCATGTCCATTTTACAAGAACCATCGGAATCAAGTGGCGACTTAGCCCTCTGAATTGTAGGTGGTGTGTGGTCTACAAGGATACTATCAGACTGGAACACTGCAAACTTGCTGAAGTCATACCAGGCTTTGACGTAGACAATATATTCTGTACCATGATGCAAGGATTCTCCGTGAGGAAGGCAGTAAATCATCCTTGTACCCTTCCCTGTGTCCCGCCATACAGTTTTTAATGCATCTATCACAGTTGTGTCGCCTTTTTCCCCAATGCTCCACTGAAATCGAGTGATGTTTTTTAAAACCTGCGGCGACGTGGCCTCCCAGTGAGCAGTTAGACATGATGATGAACTGGTAACTGTGGCATCAGACTCTAGTCCAGGATGTACAACTATATCAGTACTCTTCCCTATTGGGGCGGTATCAGGACATTTCTGCTGAGAGGAAGTAAGTGAACAGTGCTGTCCTTGGACGCCACATGTGCAGTCGCCAGTGCAGTAATGAACTGCGCATCCGTGACGTTGGAGTTCCAACGTTCCCTTTGTGTGTTTGGTATCACTTGAAACAACGGATACGGTCACCTTTCCAATTCCACTTGATAGGCCAGCGGTATTTGTTGCTGAGATTGTTAGGATGATGTTTTCTCCAGTTTGGACATGATCACTCAGCGTTAAGGAAACTGTTTGTTCAGTGGAATTACTGTCATGCTTCATTTCCACGATCCCTTTCGACAACTCATCGCCATCATATTTTCGACTGGCAGAGATATGATAGGTCTGGATCCCAGACTCAGTGTCCACAAAGCCTACCCATTTCAGGTTTATTCGTGTCTTGGTTGCACCTTTGTCAACGACATTTTGCCATGCTATAGGGAATTTGAATCCTCCCAACTGTGGGGGCGTAGAATCTATAAGGATCGGATTACTCGTGGCTGTGGAGCAGAGACCTGCAGCATTACAGGCAGTGACAGTGGCAGTGTAGACATCGCCACTTCTCATCAGATTCCCTGCTTCAAAGAGGATGATGGTGGAATGCTGAGCGCCCAGGTGAATGCTTCCAACAGCAGATGACCCATCGTGATGAGTAGACAGTGACACCAGGTGTCTTTCAACGGGACTATCAGCATCTGTGAACTTCCAGTGAAGATGAAGCATGGAGTTCTCCCACTGTACATTCACAGCAGACATGTTTCTAGAGTAGGGTGATGTGAACGATGGTTTCACAGTTGCTACTGGAGGGGATGCATCCACGATGAAGCTGTCTGAAGTGGATGTGGCCACTAGACCTGCTGGGTTTGTAGCATTGACAGTAACATAAAGGGGATGACCAGATGGCAACTTGAGACCAGTTTTAAGAACTGAGTCAGAAAGAAGATTGCTGGTACTTGGAAGGACATCACATTTCCCAGCCGTTGTTCCTACACACCAGTCGAAGTGGTTGATCCCCGTCTCTGGGTCTTCAAATCCAAACCATCGAGCAGTAAGAGAGGAGCTGAAATAGTAATAACACATAAAAACTGTAAGATCGATTCCGGGCATATTTAAATATCTAAGGGCACAGGGTATGAATAAAGTCAACGATACTACAGTCGAGCACCGTTGTCTCGATATTCATGGGACCAAGAAAAAAATAGAGTTATCTAAACTTCGAGACATCCGACCAGGGCATATCATCACATATCACTATGAAAGAAAACAAAACGCTTCTCGGTATGTTTGGATTCGAAACTATAATCCGTTATCAGTAGTGTTTATTCGTAACAGTGAGTACTTCCTGATTAATTCCTTCTTAATTAATCCTAATTAAATAACAAACAAGTGACACCTTCAACTCATTTAGCCCTAATTAGTTTACACTACCGCATCCCTTTGATTCATGCCGCACCGTGTGTAAACGTGTGGAAACAACCTCAGTTCAGAGGGATACTTGCCCATGATAGGTAGGTGAATATCGAGTTTCTTTGCAAATATCGAGTTAAAAGTGTAATTTTTCTTCTTGGGACCATCACATGATATCGAGATATCCGAAATATCGAGACATCCGTATCGAGTTAAAAGAGCTTGAATAATGATAAATTATGAAGGATTTTGCCGGGACCGAAATGTTACATCGAGACAACCGAGATATCGAGTTATCAGAGACAACGATGCTCGACTGAATTTATTACTAATCCAGGTCAAACACTACGATTAGTAACGTCAAAATATACACCTCAAAGTTTGCTAAGGATCATCACGTCAACTTGGGTGCATATGTTAGAATAGACAATATTACGTGAAACATAGTTTACTGAACAATATGTGTGATGTCATCCCTGTGCCACACAATGCCAACAACAAACACGTGGCCAATAATCAGATAGTCAGATCACCGCCAGCATCTGCTCTAAAGTAAAACGTTAAAAATCCCGTTGTGAATTTCAGAAAACAAATTAGTATAAATATTATTCGGATCAAAATGTTACTACAACATGAAATACAGCCTTACCACACGGTTATATACCTTACCAGTGTTTATAGATGTCAACTTCTCATAATACAGAAGTTCACATCCATCCTTATATGTATCACTTCTAAGAGTGAGTGAGTGAGTGAGTTAATCTTTAACGTCACATCGGCAATATTTCAGCCATACAGTGACGAGAACAATTAATGAATATATCATTTATCAATAAAATTAGAAAATAGAACCTGTTGACGAAGAACAGTAAAACTACTAGTGTATCACAGATATCCATTTAAAACTAGTAATTAAATCTAAAACATGTTAATTAGAAATGACAAGACAATGTAAAAACAGGCTATAGATTGCCAACTACAGAAGGTAGATGACCTTACTAGGGACCATAGGGACTTACAGTACATTTGCTTCCTGCATCACTTATAAGACCATTCAAAGACCCCCAACATAAACACAAGATTGCCATAACGATTTGACAACGTGAAATCATTAGGTTGTAAGCATTTAATATCAATATCATGCATAACTACAAAATATTGAATATAATTACGCATGTCCGTGGTATTTATGGTGTTGTCCATCATGTCCCACAAAGACCACGCCAGGAATTGGAGGCGAGTTGTCCAGGATGATCCCATCTGATGCAGACTTAGAACAGAGACCTGCATGGTTGCAAGCCTCAACATTGCAGTAGAGCTTAACCCCGACGGGCAAGTTTCCAGTCCATGATATTTCTACAAACGACAAGACAATATAAAAATATTTTGTCATCTCGCAAACTCGCTGTACTTGCTTTTACATAGAGGGACATATTGAGAGTGTTATCTGTGTTATCTATACTTCTTCTCAGTTTACGTTGATGAGGTTTCACGCCATACAACTGTGAACTATCTTCACTGTCAAAAACAGTAATTGGGTCTGGGCTTTAAAGTTTGCGGCATGGAAAGAGTAGAACTTTTATATATTATGCTAGTAGACATTGCAAAATCAGGCCTTTGTTCAGCAGTATATATTCCAGTGCGTGTATTATATGTGTCCAGAGTGCATGCTAACAAGGGGAGAATCTAATATATACCTGATCCCAGACCAGCATGAGTTATGGTCTTAACATCATCCAGATGAGGCTGGGTCCCGAGACTCACATAGAAGGATGCGAGTCCAGAATGGGGATCATCGAATCCGGACCAGTGACACGAGTACCTGTCTGTGTTAATCTGGTAGTCTAGTTCATCCTGCAACTCACCAAGAACAAAGCAAATATTAAGGTGAAGTTACAGGAACTAATAACGATGTATAGACGCTCTGTGGCAAATATAGTTTGCTTTACTTTGTTGCTTAACGCAATTCTCGGCAATACTCCAGCTATATGGCTGCGGTTTGTAAATAATCGAGTCTGGACCAGACAATCCAGTAATCAACATAACGAGCATCGATCTACGCAAATAGGATAAGTCGACCAAGTCGTTGAGGCTGACCAATTTGAACCCGTCTGTCAGCATGTGTTGCTGAAGACCAATTCTAACCCGGATCTTCACGAGTCACATTTATGCTGTCGCTCACCTGCTTTCCAACATCTGTAACAACACCTTGTGTAGGAGGCGATGTGTCCACAGTGAAGGGATTGGAAACCGCCATGGAAGTCAGGCCAGCTCTGTTTGTACACTGAAAATACATATCTCATACAATTGCAACACAAATTTTATGTGTTCCCCATTAAATTTTAGTACTAAGGACAGCTGATATTTGTGTCGACCCTACCGATAGGGCTATGGATAATCAAGGTGGAACCATGAAGATTGGTTGTACCATTATTCTAGCAAAATACTCATGGCCATCTATAAATCCATTGATGTTGATGTCTGCAAAGGTCCCCGTATATTCCGTGAAGGGCGACAGTGTTCCAGTGATGGTCGACCCTATGGCCAGGGATGTTGAAAGGATGCCAGACTCGGGATCTTCGAATCCCGTCCAATGAACGGTCAGCCTGTCAGATGACACCATGCTATGACTGCCTAGTCTGTTACCAGTGAAGATGTCTCCAGTTTTAGGTGGTGTAACGTCAACCATAACAGCGTCTGAAGTAGCCGATGTTGAGTGTCCAAGTCGATCAAAAGCTGAAATAACAACCAAAATATAGGAATTATTTGCTTTTCCAGCCCCAGGTTTTGCAAATCCATCACAGCGTATTGCACCCGCAAACCACACACTGTGAATATTTGGAGTAAATGTTTGTTACCTGATGTCACACCAGTTCTCCTGCTATTAACAACTAAACACACAACACAATACCATTGCTTTGTCTTTAAAGGGTACTTTCCAAGCCCAAATAATAAATTGGACTTACCTTTCACTGTAACGTAGAAGGTTTGACCAGTTGTCAATGTGACATTTGGTACATGGACGTTGTGTGCAAGCCCAACATTGGTGAACGATTGAACATCTTGACTTTCTGGATAGGTACCTGTAAACACATGTAAGTTAGAAACACTGTTGATACATTTAGAATGTATGGGAATATGAAATATTATCTATATCAAGCTCGAAACACCATCAGACAATAATCAGAGTGTGAGTTTCGTCTCTGTGATTTATGTATATATTTCAAGACATGCCCAGTTTTGACATACGTACCTATGGCATAGGAATAATAGGCGATGCCCGAATCAGTCCCGACGAGATCCTGTGCTTGGTCACTAAAGCCTGACCAATCTGTCACCAAAACATCCATTTCTGTAAGATAACCATTTCGTAGGTTCAGTATCCGAACTTCACCTTGTTTAGGAGGAAGGTCATCAATGGTAACACCATTGCCACATGCTGATATTCCTGAGCCGTGTTGTGTGACAGGCGGGCTTTGCACACATATGTAATATTTCATACTGTCCATTAACTCCACATCGTTGAAAACAGCAATAGGTCCTTCAGTATTTACACTTGTGATGCATTTCTCATCAGCTGTACAGGTGCTTGGAATGAGGGGTTCTTTCATCAGGTACCAAGTGTTTATGCCCTTTAACCCACCCATCACACCAGCCAGTTTAACGTCAGATTCAGCGACATCAGTTTCAAATGAAGGAAGATTCCCAGTTTCCTGCCTGTCTATCATTTCTTCTATCTCCTGGATATCCTTCTGGTCAACTTCAACGAGTCTGTTCCCCTGTTTTCTTGCGTGATTCAGAGTTTGGCAGGACGTATCAGACAGCCCGGATGGACATGTGACTCGGACACATATGTTGATGGTACTGTGAGAATGAACATGGTCATCCAGACAGACATCAGACTGGAAACAAATGCAAACACATCCATCACATGACAATATCCCCATATGAGTTTAGAAAAAATAGTATTTAAAAGAAACACCGGATACAGAATATGAGTGTGTATATCTATTTACCTGTCCATTGGCGAGTGACTGGTCGGTTCTCCAGGATGTAAACGGATGGTGATGTTTATCTGAAGCAGCCCACTGGTAGATGACCCTCCCTGAATCTCCCGGGTCCTCTTCACAGTCAACACTATCAACATGAATGGCTACGTCGTGACAAGAGAACATAGTTCTATTGGTGAACGATGGCGTTATTGATACTTTTGGCAGTTCTGAGATAACTTTAACTCCATCTGAAGATTTCCATGGTAAACACACTGTGTCAAAACAGGGCCTTACAAACACGTGATACACCTGACCATGTTCTAGGGCCATATTCGTGAAGTCTGCATAGTCAGTGCCACTGTTTACTAAAGCAGTTGACAGGGTTTTATAACACTGTGTGTTCTTTGCACAGTGCATTCCTTCTTTCAGAGTAGCCTCGAAATGCGTTGTAAATTTCTTCCATGGGCCATCATAGTGCCAGTGAGATGACACTTTGTTCTTGGACAACGTGTAATTAATGTCCAGGGCGCACATGCGAATAGTTGAGTTGCTGATGTCATCTGCAGAATTGGTTACGTTGAAGTGAGGGTAATGTGTCAAAGGTACAAACTGATAGTTGGCCTGCTTCCTTCCATCAATGTTTATGCTTGACATGAAGAGAACATCTTTCGATGTTATTTGTCCATTTAAAGAATGTTGAAACTCAAATAAATAACTCTGACCAATATGGAGAGATGCAGCTGGCTTGTAAGATCCTTTTGTTTCTTGGACTAAACCAACACTGGCATCGTCACACGTTGTACCATCAAAGACTTCAAGTATGTATCTGTTATCAGTTGGTTTATCGATAATAATGAAACCATCAGATGAAGCATATGATGTTCCCCCAGAACAAACTGCCCTTACTGTGGCATAATACTTCACACGTGGCTTGAGACCTGTTGCAGTAACACATGCACTTGCGTTGTTTACACGTCTGAATGGACTGATGTCACTTTTGTTGGCAGCAGATCCTAGGGCCACTTCAAACTGTACATCTTTGTGATGGTGGAAGCCGTTCCACTTGACACAGGTCTGCTTTTGTGTCGAATGAAAGTCAACATCATCCTTCCCATCAACATCCATCGGGTCAATGTCATAGACTATGCCATGTCCTGGCGGGAATCTAGATGGTACTGTAATTCCCTCTGTTTTCACTACAGTGAAATGGCCAGCGGTATTGTACACATACAGTTCAAAGATAAATGGTTTGTTAAGCTCCGAGTCCATCTCTTTTAGCCTTTCGAGAGGATATCTGATACATCCAGCATGGCCATTGGCTTGACAAGCTTTTATGATGTGTTTTGGTGTCTGGAGTATAGGTGTCACATGCTGTCCATTATGAACTGAAATGAAACGTATCCATTGTGATTATTAAACGCTCCAAAATTTGGTTAAATGCAATAATGTGACAACTGGGCTATGGATAGGTCATATTAACATGGCCGATCATGGCCCTAGTTATTTCTTAAGATCCGTACTTCTCGAGTCGAGAGTTATTGCGTCAAGACGGATATCAATGACGAGCAAGTCAATGACCTTCCCTCTTATCGTATGAACTGACGTTGGTTCAAAATCTTGCTCAGGTTCACTTACATGAAAAGAAGATTCCAGAATATCTCTACAACTTTAAAATACCTCACTGTGAGGTTTGATTCAAAACAAGACAATTTCTCGAAATCGAATTTACTCAAATTATGTTAAGTTTTTACATGTGAGATATTAACACTCTTTGAATCAAATGCCATAATCGCTATGTACGTAAAGATTTTCTTACTAATTCTGTGAAGAACAGTAAATTGGGAATCCTGCTGTTCTGGATCTGTAAACGTATTCTTCTGCCATGGGATCATAACAAAATCGCCCTCAGATTTTGGTGTTATTTTCCCAGTGATAACAGGGGGTGTATTGTCAATCATGACCGGTCCAAATGTTACAAGTGAGTTCAATCCAGCCTTATTCACTACCTTCATAAATATGTAGAAAATGTTCTTCCCAGCAAACCCTGCATGGTTCAGTTTAAAGGAGTGGCGCCCTTTACTTGATGCATAGTTCAAGATGTCTGGGTCATGAAAGGTTGACTTATCAGTTCCATATCCTACTGAAAAATCCTTTAGTTGACTATCGTCCGCTGAACAGTTCCAGTGCAAGTCGATCTTGTCAGATGGAAGAAAGATAAGAGAATTAGTAATAAAATCAAGGGATCCGCAAAGACTATCGGCCAATTCTGTATCATTCAAAACATCATTGCTCTTCGGAAATATGTTAGCAAGAGTTGGCATTAACTTGGATTGGCACCTCTGTAAACATTTATGAGTCTTTGCAACTGGTCTAAGTGTCAGGTGTCTTGTGACAAGCCAGATATCGCCATCCACACATGCGATATGTTCCTGTGATGTTTGCGCCTTACTCAGGGACACATTGTAGAGGGTTGGAGAGGATATGTCCTTGGTGATCCCGTCGGAACAAGCAGGTTTTGAAGGACTGAATGCCTTATTGAACGCTATTACTGTTGTATAATATTTTGTCATCTCTTTCCGAATTGTTAATTTTGCGCCATTGATGCCTTCTGCAACAGTGACAGTGTCTGTGTTGTTCTTCATTTCATCTAGTGTCAGACACTTTGAGGCAAGGCTGACCAGGTAGTGGCTGATGCCACTCTCACGGTCAGTAAACCCTGCCCAGTTGACCAGGGCAGTATCCTCACTTGTGTAGTCTACATCAGGACCGTCCACTGCTCCTTCTTTAACGGTCCCTGCTTCGGGAGGAGAGGTGTCCACAAGGATGTCAAGGTGGTCGATGTTCTTCAGGCCTGCTCCGTTTGTTGCCGCGACTGTGAAGTAGACGGCTTGATTGTGTTGAACACCATTGACTTTGTTGGCCACAAGCTTATTTAGATTGACGATGTAGTTATGAAACTGACATTCTCCGACAGACGGGCAGTAGCAACTTGAAAGGGAGGCACATTCCTGCAAAAGAAATATCAACATATGATAACTGTAGAATAACAAGCCAGTTTTTCACATAATTATTCCGTATTTTACTCTGGGGACCTGAAGGAAATGACCTCCTGACTTTCCTAGACAGACCCGTGAAGATCCGGGGTAGAATAGGTCTTCAGCAACCCAGGCTTGTCACAAAAGGCGACTATGCTTGTCGTAAGAGGCGACTAACGGGATCGGGTGGTCAGGCTCGCTGACTTGGTTGACACATAGCATCGGTTCCCAATTGCGCAGATCGATGCTCATGCTGTTGATCACTGGATTGTCTGGTCCACACTCGATTATTTAAAGACCGCCACCGTATAGCTGGAATATTGCTGAGTGCGGAGTAAAACTAAACTCGCTCACTCACTCACTTTGACAGTGTGCGAGTGAGTGAGTTAAATGTAAAGTCACATCGGCAGTATTTCAGCCATATCGTGACAATGAAAGTTGTAAATATATAAATGAATAAAAACAAAGTTAGCAAATATACTTACCTGTCTGCAAAGGACAGTAAAACAACTAGATTGCCACAGAAAAAAATTTACAACTAGTAATGAACTCTAAAATATTTTAACTATAAATGGCCAAACAATATGAAAACTGAAGGCAGATCACCATACTGGGGACCATTGGGACTTACAGTACATTTGCTTCCTGCATGGACCCTAGCTGGACTTTGACAGACAGAAAGACAGACAGATTATGTTTCAGAAGAATCTGTTCTCTGAATGCACATTTATGACTGGCAATACCAGGCCATACGCAGAAGTACACATCGTTGACAACTATGTCGAGAAAGTAAATTATGTTAACAACACAGCATTACATTTTGAACTACATAGACAACATCCTACATTAAGAAAAATACAACCGGTTCGCATTATTAACCAATATAATGATTCGTTGTTACCGTTCCATTCAGTTTTTCTACAGGTAGCACGCCATGGCCAAGGTCTTGTGATGAATCTTTGGTGCCAAGGTACCACTCCACAGAAATGACACCACTGTGAGGATCCATAGCATCAAACTGCAGCGCCATCGTAGAAAGATCGGGGTTGTCATGGGCATAAACCTGCTTGTTTCCATCCTTCAATAGCCACATATTTGATACATCAGGACCAGTAGAATCAATGTGGACATGTACCATTTCCTGCAAAGAGTGGTTTACTATGTCCTTGGGTCTTATTGCGATATCATACGTTTGACCATCTTGCAAATGAGGGGAAATGCATAGAGACTGGTTGGTGAAGTGAGGGACCATTGCCCAGGTTGTCCTGGCGTGCTGGTCAATGGTGTAAGAATACATAAATTCAATGATGCCTTCGACATTTGGGGTCCCAGATACAGGTAGCGTCCCAGATGTTTGGTCGTAAGCAGGGGTCAGTCCTGTCTGGGGAGCGACTTTGTCCAACAGCTTGTTTGCCCTCATTTTGTCGTTGTAGTAACGGCCTTTCCAGTCAATGCAAATGTGTCCAAGGTTTGTCTGCCATTTGTAGCCCGATTTCTGTGTTGCTGACACAACCCGAAGTGGTTTAGAAGAAGCTTTCATTAATTTAGAAGAGCCGTCGTACAGTACTAATCGTCGGACGTATTGGATGTTTCCAGCCTTATCATGAACCTCCAGGACGACAGCATACAGGCCATATGTGTTAGGGAGGTGAAAAGATTTGTCCAACGTAAACGTTTTATACGTTAGATCCAGACCTTTCAGTGGCGTTTGTAAGACATCAATCACATGGCCTTTATTTACAGTGTTGAGAATCCGTAGTTTCATGTATTGCAGGCCAGATGCTGAATCGGACTTTCCACCGTGTGGCACTGGATCTGTCCAGCCAGAGGTTTTGACATTAATCACACCTACAAGAGGAGAATTCCATGGTGTGCATAAGTTCAAAAAAGACGTCGAAAACATTCATAGACATGGTCCAGGTTATGACAGCACAAATGTGACCTGAGACCTTATTCTCGAAACGTTCGAAGTTCGCAGTTCTAAGAATTCGTAACTTTGATCGTAGCCAATGTGTTAAGAATGGGCTTAAGAAGTTCGTAGGGATAAGAACGTTTCGAGAATAGCTAGCCTGGTCTTCAGCACCATATACTTGTCGTAAGGGGCAACGTACGGGCAACGTCAGGCTCGCTGGCTTGGTTTACATGGCATTGTAACGCAACTGTGTAAATCAATGCTCATGCTGTTGATCACTGATCCAGACTCGATATATCTACAGATTGCCGCCATGTGGCTGGATTATTGCTGTGTGCAGAGTTAAACAACAAACAAACAAATAAACAGTATTAATGTAAACCCTTAAATGGTCTTAATGATTATGTGACGCACCTGTACGCGTTATGCGTGCTGATAACTGCAATGCCTTGGATGAACAATGTGTTGTTCCTGTCTGGGAGCAGTGTACTGGTTTACCGCTGTCATACCGGAAACAGACATCTTTAAAGGATGCTAGTGAGGAGTAAATTTGGATTCCAAGGTGATGTTTGTCAAAGTTCTGATACCTGAAGTAGCCTCCTCCAGCAGCCCAAAAGTGTACACACAACCTGAATAACATGAACACGTATATGATAATATCACAATACGCAGGAATACGCTTTACACGTTGCAAATTGTAATAAAAGCATGTGTCTCTGAACACTGATATATCCAGGCTTCTCAAGAATAACAGAGGCGAAACGGGTTTAGATCATACGCAATCAAAGATTACAGAAATATCATGGACCCGTGAAGATCCTGGTTAGAATTGGTCTTGAGTATCCCATGCTTCTCGTAAGAGGCGACTAACGGGATCGGGTGGTCAGGCTCACTGACTTGCTTGACACATGTCATCGGTTCCCAATTGCACAGTTCGATTCTCATGTTGTTGATCACTGGATTGTCTGGTTCAGACTCGATTATTTACAGGCTGCCGCCATATAGCTGGAATATTGGCGTTCGGCGTAAAACTAAACTCACTCACCCATTCAGTAATATCAGTCAAGGTCACTTTTTCTATAAACAGACTGCCTCCGTGGTGAAGTGGTTAGAGCGTCCGCCCGGAGAGTGCAAGGTTACGGCCGCGTCATACCAAAAGCCGTTAAGACAGGGTACTTGTTGGTCTCTGCCTGGCGTTCGGCATTAATAGGTACAACAAGGACTGGTCGGCTCGGAGTCAGTATAAGGCGTCTGAGTGGGGTATTCATGCTTAACTGCGGCATGGTATCTCAACGAGCTGGCACTATAAAACCAGCTTAAGTCTTGGCTAGTACAAGCAACCGCACATACATACACACATATGCACGTCGTCATATGAGCGAGATATTCTCAAGTACGACGTTAAACCCCATCTGATCTCACCTCACCTCACCTAACTGATCCACCGACAGATATGTCTTGAGGGCTCAGGATGACATTGGTTTGACGTTCATACACGACCTTGACCATTGAGGAAGTGCAATGATAGTATGGCTTCATCCGAACCAGGACCAAAGTTACGCCCCCTCAGGAATGCCTATACTTCCAGGCCAAACTTTCACACTGTTTTCTCCTATGTTCATACCTGTCCCCATCATGGATTCCTGGCTGTACAGATACTGTTCGTTGACAAGTCAAAGAAGGAGACGGTGAAGTGTTTCCAAGTGCTTTTGAGCAGCCACTACCGCCGTGCAAAGAAACTGTGGACAGGCTAGATGGGTGACCTGGATGAGAAGATATACAGATCAAAGCAGGGTTTATGACTAAATCGCATTATGATTAGGCATTATAACTGCCATAACCTTCTTCATGTAGATACATATACTGAGGGAAAAAAAATAAGGGATCACGTGAAAGCGCAAGCGTTCCTTTATTTTTTTCCAAGGTTCGCATAGCTTGTGAAGAAAGCGGAAAAAAATAACGGAACACGTGTGCTTTCATGTGATCTCTTATTTTTTTCCCCTTAGTATATGTGCCTATTAGTGTAAAAGTGAATGCAATGTTTTGTTCATGAAATATATTGCCTTAAACTTATGCTATACGTTCAATTAAATGCCCAACACAGCATATTTTTAAGACGGAAAACAGCAATTCATTTCTTTTCATCAAAGTGTTTATGGGTGCATTATCCAGATTCATTAGATGGCTTTGAAGTTGAAATATCGTGTACATGATAAATAGCTTGTACCAGTTACAGAAATCTTCGTCAATGTTGTCTTAGCAGCAACTATTCCGTATCCTTGCTGGTAGATGTAGTTTGGGGGATTTCTGACGTCAAGATTGTCTAACTTGGCACCAAACAGAAAGTATACAGAATTGGGTATCAGGTTGACGTATGTATCGGATTCTTGAAGACATCCAGTGTTGGAGCCGTGTGTTGAGTTCCTCACCCTCTTGTTTGCATCGGTCATACCAATGCGACACGTTAGAAGCTGGGGCTTCTGAGCAACTGGAAATAAGAAAATTGCTTCTTTATTTCTGAAACGCTACATGGCTATACATATGCATCGTTCTGGTATATTTCAAATTTACATACCCATATTTTATATGCTGAGACACATACGTCATCTGTCAATAGATTTAAATGTAAGAATATATGTTATTTGCGTATAACATCATGAAAATCCGTACTGAACATTATGTCATGTAAGAGGACGTTTAATATGACACGTATGTCATTCTTTATCGTGTTTATTAATGTCTGTCAAAATTATTTCAGTATTCTATTTGGAAAAGACTTAATCCTCCTCTTACATGTATGCCATTTTGTAATCTATATATAACTCCTGGGTCCCGATCCACTAAGAGTTCGTAACGTTACGACCTGTCGTAACTCTGTAGTTTACCATAGGCTTACGAATGGCATAGCGCCACGAACGCTTTGTGGATCGGGACCCTGATCCTTAACATTTTATATATTTAGGAAAAACTTATTCCTCTCACGATCACACTTTGTGTATCTGGCGCCTGCATCTCGCTTAACGAAGCCCTTCCGACATTTGCAGGACGTCCTCAATCTGGAGTCGGGGCAATCCCCAGGCCAACACCATTGGTTCTTCCACGAACACGTCACTGGCATGGAAAAGTTTTCCCAGAAGAATGTCAAAATCAACAGCAAAAACTGCACAAAGTCTCAAATGATTTTCGTATATTTTGTTTAAACAGAACTTCGACAAAACTTTATTGGTCAAGCATATATTCTTTAGCAACAGTGTATTGTGTAAAGGCTTTCCCAGAAGAATGTCAAAATCAGCAGCAGAAATTAAACGAAGTCTCAAATGATTTTCGCACATTTTGTTAGGACAGAACTTTATTGGTCAAGCATATATTCTTTAGCCATAATGTATCGTGTACTGATCCTGAACTTTCAAGTGTGTGTACAAGCACCTGTATATATCACGACACTTACAAGCACAGTCGGGGTGGGTCCTGGTACGCCACCAGATCGAGTGATCAGGATCTCCTCGAGCATCAAGACATTTTTCTGCAATACAAAGGTAACGTTGTTTTACCTGTCATCAATGCAAACGGTAACGCACATGTAATTCCAGGCGCCTACAGCTGAATCCTCAAAGGGGGTTAAAGTATCGTAAAATTATTGTCCTCCTGAGAGGGTACGTCAGTCCCAAAACTTTCAAAGTCAGTTTAGCTCAACCGAACCGAACTTTTTAATCGTAGAAAATATGTTATTTTAAATTATGGCTCAGTTTTCCCACCATCGCCAGCGGCTGAAATCCAGCCAGGGTCCATACAGGTAGCAAAGGTACTGTACGTACCCATGGTCCCTAGTATAGTGATCTCCCTTCAGTTGTTGGCGATCTTTAGCCTGTTTTTATATTGTATTGTCCAAACCAATGCTATTTGTTTAAACGTCACATACTAGTTTTAATTCTGTTATAGTCTAGTTGTTTTTACTGCCCTTTGACGACAGGTTTCATGATATACACATATTCTTTATCAACGTCAAAATTGTTCTCGTCACGTTATGGCTGAAACATTGCCGATGTGACGTACGTCTTACGTACCTCTGCTGGTGCTAAACGTGACGAGCGGACACCTTAACCACTAGGCCACCCTACCGCCCAGACCACGTGTGAGACATTTCACCTACCGCACTGTGATCCCGTGTATCCAGTGTGACAGGTACACCTGTTTGGTGACACACAGCTTCCTTTCCTGCTGCAAGCTCCATTATTGTTGTCCCTGCCGTAACAGATGGCTGGAGGAGACAACAAGGACTCACAATGATATTTTAATAAAAACCCTCCTTGTCAGAGATATTTGTTCACCATAAATACAATGAGTGAGTATGGTTTCACGCTGCATTTAGCAATGGCCCAGCAATATCCCGGTAGGGGACACCAGAAATGGGCTTCACACATTGTACCCATGTCGGGAATCGAATCCGGGCCTTCGGAACCTATAGGTTACCCCCCTATAGGCTCGTGTGTATATGTGGGTGCTTATACTAGCCCAAACTTAAACCGACGTTAAACCCCATTTCACCTCACCTCACTTCACCTCTTCTATAAACAGCCCGTGAAGGTCCGGGTTAGAATTGATCTTCAGTAACCCATGCTTGTCGTATGAGGCAACTAACGGGATCGGTTGGTCAGGCTTGCTGACTAGGTTGACACATGTCATCGTATCCCAATTGCGCAGATTGATGTTCATGCTGTTGATCCCTGGATTGTCTGGTCCAGACTCGATTATTTACAGACCGCCGCCATATAGTTGGAATATTGCGGCGTAAAACTAAGCTCACTCACTCACTCTTCTGAGCACACAACAAAACAGTAACGTTTTGAACTACACAGACTCACAAGGCTATAAGACATACTCAGTATACAGCCTGTGTTGTAGAAGAGCGTCCATCCTTGCAGTAGTCTAAGCATACATCTAAGCAATTAGGATGCGATAACATAGATAAAACAAATCACTACTGACTTCTACAGACACATTTAACGTTGCAAGTCCTTTTCATAGACTATGCTTTGTTTTGTTGTTTGGACCAGACAATCCAGTGCTCAACAGCATGAGCATCGACCTACACAATAGGGATACGATGACATCCGTTAATCAAGTCATCGACCCTGACCACCAAGTCCCGTTAGCATAGTCCACCTGATCCCGTTAGTCGCCTATTACAAAAATCATGGGTTCCTGAGGACCAATTCTAACCGGGGTCTTCACAGGTCTTATCACATGTAAGTTAGGAAAGTCAGATGAACCCGCTACCTCGCGGATGTCATCACAGGAAGGGCACAAACCAAAATGATCCTTTGAAAAGAAAACATGTTCTTGTACCCTGACCGCATAACATTTTTACTTTTCTCGTCGCGTATTCAGTACGTGGTGGCAGAGTACGCCAGATGATACCAACACACCTAAGCTGCAGTCTACATTGTTGGATGACTTCCATCCTGAGCAGCACGAATAGCTCAGACGTGACCGTGATTCATACCTGAAAATATACACCTGGAGTTCACATAAACCATATCATGTATGCTCAAGGGATAAAGTGATAACTATTATCACATATATCCATCTGAAGTGAAATTAGCTCAGTTGTTTACATCAAAGAATATTTATATTATAAATTGTCTTGCAAAATATCTATTTTTTTGCCATGAAAAAACGAAATAAATTTCTTTCAGTCTTCGTACCCACAAATGTATAATTGTGCAGCTCTCATGATGTTGTACGGTGCTCTAATGATTGTATATTCTGTACACCTGATGTATAATGGGTCTGTGGCCCCTTTACTGAATAAAACTCTCTCTCTCTCTCTCTCAAGGGATAAAGTAACAACGATTATCTAAATGTCCCCTTAACTGGAAAATAATTGTAATTGTAACAACGCGACGATGTGATAGTGTGCAAACAACACACCACTCGTATCACTAGATCAAAGTATACGGGTGGCCTGTAACGCACATTGGAGTGACGAAGTATATCACAACTCGCAAATTCAATTGTCCACTCGTCTTGAGATTACTGTATAGATTCCTCGGGGGGATGTTAATGTATTGATAAGGAAACATTATTGACTGTCTAACAAACAGGCTTTAAAACTTAAGTTCTACCTTTATACAAAGGTATCCAAAATAACATGTACATTTGCTATGTGTTTTGTGATTGTCACGACAGAATCTGCAACTACAGTCTGCTGTTTGGTTTGTTTGTTGTTTAACGCCGCTTTCAGCAATATTCCAGCAATATGGCCCCGGACCCGTGAAGATCCGGGTAGAATAGGTCTTCAGCAACCCATGCTTGCCACAAAAGGCGACTATGCTTGTCGTAAGAGGCAACTAACGGGATCGGGTGGTCAGGCTCGCTGACTTGGTTGACACTGGATTGTCTGGTCCAGACTCGATTACTTACAGACCGCCGTCATATAGCTGGAATATTGCTGAGTGCGGCGTAAAACTAAACTCACTCACTCACTCATATGGCCCCGGTCTGTAATAATCGAGTTTGGACCAGACAATCCAATGATCAACAGCATGAACATCGAGCTACGCAATTGGAATACGATGACATCTGTTAATGAAGACATCAAACCTGACCACCAAATGCCGTTAGTCGTCTCTTACGACAAGCCGGGGTTTGCTGAAGACAAATTCTAACCCGTATCTTCACGGGGTCAGTCAGCAGGTATTATCATCGACTATGGTAGGTTGCACAAGGATATTTGGACATTGACATCATGAGACAAGGAATTGACTACAGATACTCTTGGAGACACATGACGTGGAGCCGTTTCATTACCAACATTGTTGAAAACTAACACAAAGGAAGAAGGTTTTGTTTTCGAGTGAGTGAGTTACCATTTATAGTCACAGCGGCAATACTTCAGCCCCATCATGACTTTAAAAGTTATAAATTCACAATAAACACAATTACATAATAAAACCTGTCAACAAACACAGTAAAACCAACTTGAATATCACAGTATCAATAAATAAAATTAGCATCTCTCTCCAAAACTGGATTTCAAATTAGGACAATACAGTTTAAGAATGGGCTATAGGTCGCCATCAACGGAAGGTGGATCACCATACTAGGGACCATAGGGACTTACAGTGCCTTTGCTACCTGCATGGACCCTAGCTGGATTTACACCATCCCTTCAGATATCAGCGATTGTAGATAAATCTACCCATACATTAAAATAACATGTTTCCTACGTTATAAGAGTGAGTGAGTGAGTTAATATTTAACGTCACGTCGGCAATATCTCAGCCATATCGTGACGAAACCAATTTATACAATAAAAAATGAAAACATTTTGGAGAGTAAAACCTGTCGACGATGGACAGTAAAAATACTAGCGTATCACATATATGAATATAAAACTAGCATGTCAAACTAAAAGATTTGAATTAAAGAAGACAATACAATATAAAACACGGGCTGTAGATTGCCAACAACTGAAGGTAGATCACCATACTAGGAACCATGGGGACCTACATTACTTTTGCTACCTGCATGAACCCTAGCTGGATTTACACCATCCCTTCAGCCGCTGGCGATGTAGGAAGATTTATACGTTTTAAGAATGTGGTAGATTTAAATTTGCTTTGAACGTTTTATGACTTACGTATCCTCTCAGGAGGACAATAATTTTACAGTACTTTAACACCCTTTGAGGATACAGCCACTAACAATCTCAGTTACTAATCCAAACTACCAATCATAAAAGTACATCTATTTACAAAACATATGAATCAAAATGTGTTAATCAATTCAATCGATTTTATATATTCAATGATAAAATGGCAGTTAACATTATAAAAAAAGACCCTTAACAGTTTTAACACTGAAATATTTATCCCTTGTGATGGAGTTTCGTTAAGGGAAATACACTATTTCAAGCACTGACAACTGGAGACATGGAAAAGACATCACGTTGGAGAGCATGCATGTGGATGAAAAGGGTTTTGCAATACATCAAATTGTACTTACTTTGTCCGATATTTCGTGCATCGGCCCCAACCAAAAAACTTACAGTGCACCTTGTAGCTCTCTTTAATTGAAACCTTGTATGTCACTGTATGGTGACACACATGGTTACTGAAACAAAAAATAGAGATTTCGTGAATTTATACTCACTGTAATACACATGATTTAATACGAATTCTAAAACACAGTTGACATTTAAACATACAGTAGAACATGGTTATAGCGTACAAATTTAAAAGTCCCGTCAACAGTCCTTTATAATATCATGTATATAGTTCATCACAGAAGACACTTTGCCCACCCTATTTACATTCCAAGCTCAGTGTATACACGAGCAGTGTTTGAAAAAAGCTAAAACAACTAGCCAGACATCACTGGTAGGGGTGGGCGATAACACCGGTTAACCGGTATATTGCAATTCGAACTTCACAATACGATATATTGAGGTACACTTTCCGCGAACCGGTTCACCCGATCCGATCGGTAATTTTCGTGTTGTAGTCAAAACTACTAATAACATTGGAATTTCCTTTATATTATCACACATTAATAGTTTTGAGAATGTTTAATGGTCATATAATTGCATATGCGTGATTTTTAAACCATATAAATAAATCAAAAATAGATTGGTACCGGTACTTGTAAGGATAATCAAACCAAAAGGGCGGACGCCGCTGCAGACCCTTCTTCTCGAGTTCCAAACTTTAGAGCGAAGTCATCAATTTTGGAACATTCTCAATTGATCTCTTGTACAATTACATCTCAGTCCTGATAGTGGCCAGTGGCATTGTTTCAAAAGGAAGGATACAGTAACCTTTCATTACCTTAAACCATTTGTTACACTTCAACAATATATTGCAATACATATCGCAATACGTCAACACATATCACAATATATCGCAATACGTCAACACATATCACAATATATCGCAATACGAACATTTTGGCAATACCCAACCCTAGACATCAGGGTTGGTAACATTTTGAGTTACCAGCCCTGATGTCTGGCCAGGTTCAAATGGATTTAACCAGACCAGACTCTCTAAAGACCAGTACTCAGATGTATGAAACATATACTCATGTTAATAATGGTTGTCACCCCCCTTCAATTTGTTTTCTTGGAGAGGTGGTGTGGGGTGGGGGCGGGGAGGGGGATGACAACCATTATTGGCATGAGTATATTATCTAAAACATTTACCAGAACATCGCGCTGGCTAGCTGTAAATTTAGACCGTCCCTCCGAAATCGGGCCTTATTTCACACACTGTACACGATTTATCACCAGTAGGCATAACTTCCACTAAATATACACAATGTAGATGTATACCATCTATTTAAAAAAAAAATACATTCAAGTCAGTTACTCCTTGCTACAAATCAAAAAAAGATTAAACTCATATATAAGATGCATTTAATTTTTCTACTGACTTTTCCTATTGATTGATTCATGACTTAATATACGAAAGGGACAAGCAAAACATACCCGTTACTCCTGAGACTTTCTGCACACGAGCAAATGTAGATGGTCAAAAAATGCAAGGCTTCCCCAAAGTCTCATGACTCTGCTGAAATCACTGCCAAAACAGATACTAATAATCAACACCGAAGTTATTTCTGTATCCAAGAAGAAACTTTAAATAAATCCTACCGACACACAAATAGTCAAATATGTGTGTACGTCCTCAAAGCCACATGTGGAAAACCTGCTACTAAATGCTCTTCTAACAGCGACCTACACAATTTACAACTATTGTATTATAATTAACTGTACAATGAGACTGTGCTACTTTCACCTGGCAATACTCGTCCATATCAATCCGCTCGCTGTGGTGTTCTGCGCTGACGCTCCCGTCCGAAAGGGGCATTGCTAGTCACGTGTAGGCCAATACACCTCAACCAAGATTAAAGGTTAAATCTGAAATGTATGCCAAGAACTGAGATTTTATGAGCGGATTCACGACTCTACACATCTGAGTGGAATGACGTTAATCCCAATCCGTGCTTGTTTGTTTGTTTATTTGTTTTTTAACGCCGTACTGATCAATATTACAACCATATGGGGCGGTGTGTAACTAATCGAGTCTGGACCAGACAATCCAGTGATCAACATCATGATCTTTCTACGCAATTATGGATACGACGACTTGTGTCAACCAATTCAGCGAATCTGACCATCCGATCCCGTTACTTGTCGCTTAAGAGTGAGTGAGTGAGTTTAGTTTTACGCCGCACTCAGCAATATTCCAGCTATATGGCGGCGGTCTGTAAATAATCGAGTCTGGACCAGACAATCCAGTGATCAACAACATGAGCATCGATCTGCGCAATTGGAAACCGATGACATGTGTCAACCAAGCCAGCGAGCCTGACCACCCGATCCCATTAGTCGCCTCTTACGACAAGCATGGGTTACTGAAGGTTCATTCTAACCCAGACCTTCACGGGTCTTTAAGGCAAGGGCATGTAAACAATTATCAAGCTCCACCCAACTCCTCCCCTTTATGCGTTGACATTGTCCGTCAAACCGGTATCTGGCTTTCTTGAAGAGTCACTGGTCAGTAGAACTACGCTTAAGGCCATTTTGACCTTAAAGCCAGCTCAAACATCAATAACCTATAATGTAACATTAGACATGTAACCAGTAACATTAAAAATGTAATTAATGTGGACTCGTCGCGTATAAAAAGTTTAAACAGGCTGATTGTACCCTGCATATGGTAACTATTTCACAAAATAAGATGTTCATAATCATTTTTTATCAGTCGGAGATGCATCCACCAGGATGTCAATGTGGTCGATGTTCTTCAGAAGTACATCGTTCGTTCACACGACTGTGAAGTAGACAACCTCTTTGTCTTGGGGTGTAATGATCTATTTTGCCACGAGAATATTCATCCAGCAACGAGCGGACGCTTTAACCATTGAAATAATAGTGTGCAGTCAATGATTTTTTACTATTGAAAATGTAACGAATGTTTTTCCGTCATTTTTGTAATTAGCTATTTTTTTCTCACATATGGCAGTTCTCTGTATCAAGATACATCAGTTATACGTTTTGACTGCCTGTTTGATGTCAGTTTCTGCTGACACCATACCATGACCAAGTTCTCTAGAGCAATATCTCATGCCACATTACCATTCCACAAGTTGCCATTCACAAATAACCATTCTTAAATAACAATACAGGCATGCATGCATGCATGCATGCATGCATGCATGCATGCATGCATGCATGCATACATACATACATACATACATCCACTTACAACACACATTAACTGTTTGATTGAAGTCATGAAACGTCGCCAGCTTCTGTAAAGTATTCAGCGACTTCAGGTCCCAACTGTTCTCACATTTTGGTTTCCTGTGTTAATCCCAAGTACCCCTAAACTGACGTGGCATAAGAGGGTGTCATTTTAATTCCTTTTAATTTTATTTCAATTCCTATATTTGTGTAGAACATCATAATTTACCGTCTTGTTATTCAATATGAACTTTACTGGAACATTTTATTGATAACAACTTTTTTTCGTAAGTGCAACGATGCAGATTGTTGTACCGTTGCCATGCAACGTTTCCCTGCTTTGCAAAAGTACAAGAATCTGTATCGAAACGTCGTACTCATATATAACAAAAAGTTTCAGCACAATATCTATATAACCACTCAACTGATAAAGATCCCAACAAAATATATATGTCCGGCAGTTATCAGTTCTAGTGTCAAATCATTAGCCCGTTCGTTTTCAATGTACCGTTCAATAGTATTTCAGATGATCACATGAAATGCCTGGTTTATACAGGGCTGGTAACTTCGGGTGGATGGTAAGGAGCCAAACGATGGTGAGTGAGTGAGTTTTGCGCCGTTTTATCAATATTCCGCCAACATCATATCGGGGGACCTCAGACATAGTCTTCACACATTATACCCATGTATGGAATCCAATCCTTGACGAGCGAACGCTTTATGCTCAAGACTATCCCCGTCACCTTGGTAAAAAGGTGCATGCGGTTTGAGAGTGATAAACCGATGTTCAGTAGTGATGCTCTCTATTCTGACATGACATGTGTGATTCATTGCATATGTATTGTATATGCATTTATGAAAGTGCAATTTATAGAATTTTCATTTGAAGTCATATTCGTTTGAGAGTTACTAGATAGTTGTTGTTATATGTGCAGTTTATTACCATATTTATCCGTATTTAGGGTTATTTCAATGTTATTATATATTACCGTGACAATCGATGTTTTGTACAAGAGGATATGTAAGTAACTTTGTTTTGAAAGGTTTCAGCTTGAATCTTGTGGTGTACTTATAGTATTTACCAACGCAGCAGTATACGTTTATGCCCTGTTTTCCACCTCGACAGTTTTCACAGTATAAGGGTGCACTGGAATGTGTCGGAGGATGGGCAAGTAGCTTTACATTTGTCTTTATAAATATTAATATAGGAAATCCATAAAAAGGAATTCTTTGTTTTCGGAATTTGTATGGTGATCTATTTTGAAAGTTGTTTTTATGAAGCTTGACATAAGTCATTTTGTTTGAAGGGGTAATATCATGAATATCATCTTATATAAGGGTATATCAGTTAAAAACTGTTGTAAAAAGTTAACTGATCAATTAACTGTTGAATGAATATGTTTCAGTTTTTGCTACAAGATTTCTGCATCATTTTGAATTCCTTTATGAGTGAGTTTTACGCCGCTTTTAGCAATATTCCAGCAATATCACAGCGGGGGACACCAGAAATGGCCCTCACACATTGTACCCATGTTGGGAATCAAACCAGGGTCTTCGGTGTGACGATCGGACGCTTTAACCATTAGACTACCCCACCGCCTCGATTTCTTTCATGACTGGACTTGTGATCTGTTTACTTGTAACTGCTCATAGCTGTGTCACAGCTTTACCTTTACCTTAACTTGCCGAATAACTAGAACATGGTTCTACATACTCGATACACAATCCACACGGTTTCGAGCGGCCGATGTGTACCGTTTGTTGAATTCGATTAATCACTCTGACGATACGACGATCGATTCGACGGGCCTACCCGTGTTAGTTCGCCTTAAGATACTTTCATTGAGCTTTTACTTTGAGACAACTGTATGCTTGACATATCAAAACTCAACACATTGGTGTTTGACTCTATCAAGTCATATATATGTGACGTTTCCCCTACTGGAACACTACTAGTGCTATATAAACAATATTGACAATATTACATGGACATGCGAAACGGAAAATAGGAAATTTCTTAAATGTGCAAGTGCTTGTAAAAAACCCTCTTCTTAAAACATGTTAAATGTCAGAAAAACAATTGAAGTGGCTAATAATTATTTTATTTTCATTTAGACCACTGACAAAATTTTAAGAAATATATTCATAAACAAACTAATGAAGAAAAAAGGCAACATAGAGATGGATCAACAACCTGACATCTATTGTCTTGTGATGATTTATGTTCCTTGTAAATCGACCCAGGAAAGGTATGGCAGTTATCTAGGAGTTTCCTCCACTAATTTCAGTTATAGGGATTTAATGAATAATGCAGAATGAATGCTTGACTGAAACCAATTAAAGTATCTAACTTTAGTACTTGCGGCGTAAAACTTACTCAATAATTCACTCACTCACTTTGGTACTTTAGTATTACTGTAATGACTGGAATTCTGATTCAGATAACACTGAAATATTAATGACTGCTACCTGGATAGCTTGCTTCGGCAGATGCAGGCATGGATGGGGTGTTGCCATGGTTACTGATGGGATCAGCAAACAAGGCCTGTCTTTGTCGTTTCCTGTGGTTGAAGATGGGAGTTGTAGTAGGCAAACATGTTGATCGCTCTGCAAAAATATTCTGAAAGTATATTCGGTTCAATTAAAATCATATCATTTACTTTAATAGGACACATTCTTGGTTTAAGTTTAAACCGGTTCTCCATAGATGGAGCACTTATTGTACAAGTGTGACCAAGGACTCACAAAGGAACCTATGCAACAGTTAAACAATGTTAAAAAACAAAAATGATAACATGAATTGGTAATAAGCTAACTGCATTAGGAGATTTTTTATGAACATTTGTTATATACCTATATCTAAGCCCATAGAGATGAACAAAAAAGTTCTGGAATGAACGATAATTAAGTACTCTTATCAGTTTGACTATCGCAAGCATGGGGATCACCTTAGTTCTAAGATCACTTTGTGGAACAGGGACCAGAACTTCAATGAGACAAGTTAGACCAGATTTACTTATCTATTGTTTGTAAGGTAAGGACATTCCATGGAGCAGAGGCATTTCTCAAGTCTCTTACAAATGGAGTCCAAGGATGGTGTTTCTTCTTGGTTACCAAACGGCAGCTACATCTTTACAGTTGAGGCAAACGCCATTTTACCTGCTCTTGAAAATGTATATAAACAATCTAACTATAAACTATATTTTCAGATTCTCTATCTTGCCTTGATGCAAGCAAAAACATGTCAGATAAACATTCACGTTTAATTGAGATTCTTGAATTACACAATATTCTTGCTATTGGCCAATGCGAGATCGTCTTCTGCTGGTTACCCAGCCATGTTGGAATTTCTGGTAACACAAAGGCCGATTTTGCTGCGAAGGCAAAAATCTATGACACCACTTCTCACTCGATACTAGCTATCATAAGATCGTACATACGTGAACTGACGGAGAAGAAGTAGGTATCAATAAATTACATGAAATTAATACAACTATTGGTTTCACCTACTTGGGTTGACAGTCCAGATTTGAAGTGGTCACCATTCGACGATGTCGTGTTGACCATTCTCGATATACACACGAATATCTATTGACGGGTGAGGATTCTCCATTTTCTATCCCTTGTGGTGGGAGAATCACAGTCAAGCATGTCCTGCTTGACTGTATTGATTTTTTCATCACAAGGGATAAATATTTCAGTTTCATGGGTGAAGCAGCTTTTTAAAGTATGTTCATTTTTACTCCTTGTTTTTTAAAAAGAAAATTGAATTATTACATTGATTTTGAATGATATGACTGTACACAGTTAAATGGTATTTTATAATCGATAGATTATATTAGCAACCGATATCGTTATTGGCTGTATCCTCGAAGGTGGTTAAAGGATTGTAAACTTATTGTCCTACCGAGAGGGTACGTAATTCCCAAAACTTTCAAAGTAAATTTAGCTCTACCAAGCTTTGTAACTACTCTTAGTCACGATATGGCTGAAATACTGCTGCTGTGTTTATAAACTTAAACTCGCTCACTATTTAACATTAACTTGTAATGATATAATTGTTGTGATGTTTAGAATTTAACTGGATCATCAATTGGACCCTTTCTCCACACCTTACATTGAGGATGGTCTCACAGACATCCAGTCAATTACACGGATCTTTCATAATGTATACAACTGGCTTTATTACTAGTTGTCTGTTACATTAGTAGTTCCCTTCGCTTGCGGGGGCGGTGGGGTAACTTGGTGGTGAAAGCGTTCGCTTGGCACACCTGAGATCCGGGTTTGATTTCCAACATGGGTACAATGCGTGAACCCATTTCTGGTGTCCCCCGCCGTAATATTAGTGAAATATTGCTAAAAGCGGCCTAAACTCCCGTGCGTTAGATCTCATGAGAAACATCTTCTCCAGCCAAGGGATAACTTGACAACATCAAGGGCTTGCTCAAATTAGACAACAATTTTAGATATGGGTCTATATCAATGTCATTTTTTAATGGAGTATTTTGAATGGTCACTGATATCAAGTTTAAGTGCCATGGTAGTAATAAGATAGCCTTTTGGTTAAAGCGTTCGCTCGTCACGCCGAAGACCCGGGTTCGAGTCACCACATTGGTACAATGTGTGAAACCCATTTCTGGTGTTCCCCGCCGTCATATTGCTGGAACATTGCTAAAAGCTGTGTAAAACCATACTCACTCACTCACTCACTGAGAAGGGTTTTATGGTGTTGTTGAAAGTGAGTGGTGGGGTTTTTATTCAGCTGGTCCTCTGCGACTAGTAAGCAATTGACTGTTTCTTCATGTAATGTAATGGAATGATTTGTCAGTACCATACTTTCTTGAGTATAGTTAACACAAGAAAAAAAAACTGTTAACAGGTCACATTGTCTTTTCATCATGACAAACAATGATCACATGAAACAAAAACATTGCAAAGATATATTGGTTGGCAAAAGGTCCGTATCAATGCCAAATAAATACAACTGAAACCCTGCTACGTGAAGAGATAATTGATCAGTTTAAAAAGAGATACACCAAACAAATACTGGCCTGTCCCAATATTACATATGAATGACAGATCTATTTTTCATATTCACGAACGTGAGGACAACTAAAATGCAGCATAGAGGGTTCGGGTGATTCTAGCACAATCGGGCTGGTGAGGCTCATAAACGCACACAACCAACACAGCGGCGAATAGGACTTCTCCCAGGAAACACTGCCTAGTCGAACCCACCGGAACTTTCCGGAGAACATGTAGACTCCCAAACACTGCAGCCTTCTGCATTACCCAGAGTGTCAGAAGGGCTGTACTCCCGGTGGAGAACCCGGGCACTCTCCTGAACTGCGCCAAGAGACCAGGAGGTACAAACCAAGGGCGCTGAGAACAATGGGGCGCCCGATGACAGTGTACTTGGGATGTCGGGACAAGCGAGACATTTCAAAAGCGAGGTCCGTACATTTAGCATTCTTTTCCTGAATCTTGGCAATCACGTTGCTGCCAAAAGGGACAGAAAGTTCAATGATATAAATAAATTCAATGGCTTTATCAAAAAGGACAAGTTCAGGTTTGTTGGCAGGAATTCTTCTGAGGCTGTATATGGGCCTATTCCACAGAAGTTTGAAAGCATCATTTTCGATGACACCCTGAACATGTTCAGGGTCGTACCATGGATGGACTTCAGAGTCAAAGCACCTGTAGGCATGGTAGAGACGGTAGTAAAAGCAACGAACCATGCCATCATGTCGTTTAAGATATGCAGTTTGTGCCAAAGTAGGGCATCCACTGACAAGGTGTTGCACAGTCTCTGTAAATTCATTGCAAAGTCGACATTTTATATTGATATTTTCTTTTAAAATCACATTTAGGCGATTACGAGTGGGAAGTGACTGGTACTGAGCAGCCAAAACAAATCCCTCAGTTTCACATTTAAGACCAGCCGACTTCATCCAGGCGAAGCAATCAGTGGTATTGCTGTTCATGTCGATGATGAATTCCAGTTTCTTCATATGTTTAAAAGAGTTGAAGTTGACATGTATATACAGACATGGGACAGTACAACTGAAGAAAGTTCAAGATATAACCTGTACAGCCAATATGAAAGCCTTTCAGAACCAGAAAAAGATTTAACTTTGTTTACAAATAAAGACATATTCTTACTAGGATCAGAGCGTGAATTAATTTAAAATTACAGGTTAATGAGTGACGATAGTCGTGCGTTCATTTTAATCAACGTATTTGTCCCATATTTCATAAACATGAATTTTATACTTATATGTGAATGTTATAATAATCTAAGAAACTGTTATTTACCATAAACTACAGCGACAATCCGTCTGTCTATAAGTTTCATAATAAATAAATAATAATACATTAATAATCTTTGTAAATATTATGTTTGAGTATGAGCTAAGGCGGCGGCTGGTAAATGGATACTATATTTGTATTTCATCATGACACGTATGTGAAAGTATACGTGTTTATAATGTCCTTACGCTATATTTATCACTGTAATAATTATTTGTATCTTTCTAAATGTGCCGAAGGCCTTCATACGAATACGACTTGACTTGACACGTGTCCGTAGGGCAGACAGAGGTCAGACATTCACGTAGCGATGTTAGCAGGTTACTAACAAGGCTATCGTGTTATCTTATTCGAGTGTGGAACAGATGCGAAAGTTTTCAGCTCCAGTAAAAGCTTGTCGATGCAGACAAAGGAACATCAAAAGCTAATCTGGATTCTTATCGTTGCGGTGGTTAACCGCAAACCCTGTATTACCTATTTAATTTGGCATCGATAAACTGACAGACAAAAACAACTTCCACCACCATGCTAGCGATATTATATCCACGACCTCCACTGGGCCTAAGTCAAATTCAAAGAATACATTCCTTTTAGGCGGGTCAAAATGTTGCAAAATTATTGTTCTCCTAAGGGGATACGTACGTCCCGAAACATTAAAAGGAAATATTTATTGGTTAGACTTTTTTGTGTCATTTCAATTTTTGCTAAATCTGACTACAAATGCCAGCTGCTGAAGAATTCATATACATTGTACATCCAGCTTGGGATCATGCAGGTAGCAAAAGTCCCTATGGTCCCTAGTATGGTAATCAGCCTTCAGATCTATAGTCCGTTTAAATTTTACTGGTGTCTATAGTATTATTTGTATGGTAGCGTTGTTTTAAATTAAGAGCTGTGATACTCTCGTATTCGTATTGTCCTCCGATGACAGGTTATACGTTCTAAATTTATTGATTTAATATTGATATAAATTAAATTGTTCTCGTCAATATATGGCTGAAATATTGGCGATGTGACGCTAAATATTAACTTACTCACTCACTCAATAAATACTTCTGGTTTTAATTTTTAAAGTATAATTTAATTTCAGACTCGAACAAATGGAAACGGGAATTTGCATAATATCCAACTTTAGATGCTAATCTCGGAAATCATTTCTTGAAAATCAATGATTGGGGTCATGTTGAACATTCATTTCTTTACACACAAGTGCCCAACTACTATTTATAAACCGCTACAGTAGTGGCTAATTAGGTATACTGGGAGAAACAAATAAAGGAACACAGGACGATTCAAGCGTTCCTTAATTATACTACTCATCAAAAGTTTAGATTCACTTAAAGCACTCACTATATGGTATGTATATATGTATGGTTACATCGAAGATGAATTTCTCCACTAACTTGGGGGAACGAACTGAAAATCTTATGCAGATGAATTGCACGAAGTTCATGCATCAAATTGCTGTAAAGCATGTGCAAATATCATGCATGTGAACAGCTGCGGTTTGTTTCGAATTCGTCAATTTTCACTGAGGTTTCATCATTTATAGAACTCATGACAATAATATTTTCAAAGTTACAAATTTCTTTTACAATACATCAGTTCATGTGTAAACAGTACCTTTAAACAGTATGGAAAATTTTGCAAGATATAGTTTAGAATAGTTGACAGTTGGCTACATTTACAATAGTGTGACTAAACTTTTGATGGGGAGTATATTTTCAAGTTGTAATCACTACAGCGCTATTCAAAGCTAGGCTATTCAAAATCGAATTTTTGAATTTTAAAATGACCAATTAAAATGACGAACATTGATACTCCGTGTATCAACTCTAGTTTGCCCACTACCGGTAGAAATACTGTCAGTCTGGGAAGCAGAGAACGAGTCCACTAATTTGCTAATGTATTCAGGAAATATGTGGGTTTCTATATTTGAAGCCTGGTGCTACTTATCATCAAGTCGTTTAGACGTTTCTCCAGACATACTGCTAACCTATTACTTAATATTTTACATGAGAACTAATTTTCGAAATCCGAGAGAACGTTTAAATATTTCAGATTTAGAGTGAACAGTCTGCATATAACCTACAGCCTTTGAACACAAGGTGTCAAAGCCTTCGTATTTGAAGCCGAAGAACGTTTCTCAAACGGAGTTTACTTTGTGTTAACGAAGAATACTTGGAAAAATGCAACACGCCGTCGATATCTTTCGATTTGTGTTGGCATTCAAAGGTCTCATCATCAACGACCTACAACCTCTCCCTCACACAATGTCGACGGCGAGGTGTGGCCAGCATTGTCATGAAGACAACACCTGCATCTCCTTCTTCCACGACGTGAACACCATGCACTGTTATTCCTATTGTGGAATCCTCAGCCAAACCAACACCAACCTCACGAAGCTTAGTGGCATTATGTATTATTTCTATAGCAAAGGTAATAGCTTTGTTCTTGATTTTTCGTTTCCCGTTGTGCTTATATCATCACCTGATTGTCATTCGTTCGTAAACATGGCAAAACTGTGAATTTTATCAAAAGGCAGCTACAATTGCGTCTAAATACAATTCATACATGGTCCCTGGAGACTTATTGAATGAAAATATAGAAAAGTTCTTGGGCATTATTTTCCACAGCCATTTGACCACTTTAACGCACATGAAATATTTGAAAAATGAATGCCTAAAAGCCCTAAACTTGTTAAATGTTGTTTCAAATTCAAAGTGGGGAGGGGATAAGAAAATCCTCCTCCGTTTATACATTAAAACTTCATGTTGGCTTCATCGTCTATTGACCCGTTCGCTGACTTGGTTGAGACAGTATCGTATCCCAACTGTGCAGATGGATGCCCGTGGTGTTGATCACTGCCTTGTCTGGTCCAGACTTGATTATTTACAGACCACCGCCATGTAGGTGGGAGATTCCTGAGTGTGGCGTTAAACAATAGCCAAACCAAACCATTGTCTAAGGTGAAGCCTGTAACAGTAACTTAAAATTATTGGATGCAATCCATCATCAAGGCTTGACGCTTTGCCTTTGCACTTTCAGAACGCTTCCAGTTAATAGCCTTTGTTATAGTGACTAATTCAGGACAGGCATCGTCCAAAAACTATGTAGCCAAGCCATGTGACTTAATTGTACTTATTCAATCTGCAATTTTAATGCTTATCACTACCACAGTGTACATTGCCTTGTCAGCCACCCTGAACCACTCTGTCTTTGTCATCAATTAGTGTATGTGACATTTATTGCCCTAATTGGTCATCCCCCCTTGGCCGTGTCTGCCATCACATCAACTGGTCAAGAAAATGCTATTGTTTTTGTATCTGTCCATTGTTGAGTCGTCACCTGTCCATTGTTGTCAAAAACTGTACATATATGCTCATGTACATGTATATTGAAAAACAGAGTACGAGTCCGGTATTCCGACTGTCTGTGTTGGGACGACCACGAGCAGGATAATGCCGCTCGTAGGAAACGCCCTGGGGTAGGGCAGGTACTCCGCTCACCTCATTTATGTATTGTGAATTTGTTTGTCATGTAACTGAAGAAGTTTGAGCTCAACGTATCCCTTCGTCTTGTCAACGTATTGTACGTACACTTCATCTTAAACATGAGCTAATTCCCCAGTCGACGCATATCCACGCATTGACACCTCTAGATGAGCCATCTCTAAAACAACGACGCCAGCAATTGTCCTTGTAGTACATACTATTTTTTTTCAAAACCAAATGATCCAGACTGTATCTATAATCCACTTTATGAAGATCTTTATCATAAGAAAGAAAATATATTATTCCACCCTTAGGAATTAGAATAAAACCTGACGTTACTGCTACAAAAAAGTATCTTAACAACATTTGGCCAACTGAAATTTCTTCTGCTCCTCCGTGGCAACTGGTTCAGCCACAGGTGGATCGTTCATAACACAACTAAAAAGATCGGACACATATCATCTAATGTATCAGCTACCCTTGCAGATCATGGTTAGAATTTATCTTCAGTAACCCATGCTTATCGTGAAAGGCGACTAACGGGATCGGGTGGTCAGGCTCGCTGACTGGGTTGACGCATGTGCTGGAACTCCAGAGGGATTATGAGTAGGGTTTCCCTTATTTAAAGGAATGTTTTCAGAGCGACGACATAGACATATGTGTAATCTCTGAACATCAACTGAGGGAGTACAATTTATGCTTTATGAACTCTCTTTACGCTAATTATTTTTGCATGGCAAACCCAGCTCCAGAGCCAAATCATCATACAAATAGAGCACTTTCAAGTGGGGGAACTGCGCTTTTATGCAAGAAAAAACTTAATCAGCACATCAACGAGATAGCAACAGACAATCATAGAATATGTGGAATTGAAGTTCATATTCTCTGTATATTTACCTCCGTCAAACAGATCAAATGACCTATTCTATGAAAATGTCACCATGATCAGGACTATTTACAACGCCTATTCACTAAAAGGAGGTGTAATAATGATGGGAGATTTTAACGGAGCTATCGTTGGACCAAGATACTCACCAACCCTCAAAAACAGAGATAGTCTTCTCAGTAACTGTGTTCTGGATCTGGGGTTAAAGTCAGTGAATATGGAATCCAACTGCAGTGGTCCGGTATTCACATTCATGGCATATCATGGAGGACCAATGGCGGTACTTGACCATATTTTAGTACCCGAAGAACTGTGCAACCTTACAACTAACGCTAAAGTCAGAGATGATAACCCACTAAATGTGTCAGATCACAATCCAATCTCTTGCTCTCTCAAGCTAAATCTGCATTCTACAGAGACAGAAGGAAGCATATCTTTATTGTGATCAAGAAATAGAATGGTTGTACCAAACTATCATAGGCTCTCTGCTCAAAGCAAGTGAACTGTCCATCCCCAAGAAACAATTCCGGAGGTACCTCAAGCCCTTCTGGCAGGATGCCGTCAAAGATAATCACAAACTTATGACGAGAAGGAGGCTTGAATGGCTGGATGCGGGCGGACCGAGGGGATTTGAACATAGCACATTCAAGCTCTACAAGGCTGCAAAGGACGCTTTTAGATAAAGTCTGAGAAAAGAGCCTTCACGCTATGAATCAGAAAACTTCAAAGACATAGATGACGCAGGTAATATAGACCAGAAATGTTTCTGGTCCTTCTTGTGCCAAGCAAAGAAACAACAACAAATTCCATGCCTTGATGTAGACGGTGAAAGGATATATGATCCGCACTCTATGTTCAATGCAATGGCAGATCATCTGAAGAGTGTGTATAAGAACCAAGGAAAGAAACATTTTGATGACTCACTTAAGAGGGACATAGAATCAGCAATAGAACAGCTGAGAAACAAACTTCGCTCGCTAGAGTCTGACATAAGTAGCATAACCACATCTCCAAAAGAAATCTCCTCATTATGTAAAAGCCTCAAGAGCAACAAAGCAGCAGGAATAGATGGTATAAATCATGAACATCTGAAATACGGTGGATCTTACCTGTATGTAGCCTTAGCCGAGCTGTTCAACACCATCCTGATGTCCGGATACATTCCAAGAGAGTGGTCCAAGGGTCTCATCATTCCCATATATGTGGCATGCAGGTCTTCTCCATAAACTGAACTCTGGGCATACACAACCAGACACCTACCGGCAGCCTACTACAACGTCTCATTCAAAGTAAGAAAGGTGCAATTATTCTTGACCTTCATTTTGCAGCACCAACACAGGCGGATGACATCGCCTTAATGAGCCCAGTGAACGCAAATCTACAGGACATGGTCAACATCTGTCAAGAATACAGTTCAACATGGAGATTCACCTTCTCACCAACAAAATCCCAAGTTGTTCGGTTTGGCAAAAAGGACAAGCTGATAGCACCGATTCTTCTATACAAGGAAGTTGTTCCGGCAGTGTCAGAGATTAAGCATGTTGGGATTATCCTGAACTCCCAATTCAACTCCTGGGAGAGAACACTATCTACAGAGCTGTTCCAAACTGAAATCGACCACTATGGCACGCACTTTCCAGATCAGGTTGTCATCCACGGGGGCTAAGTCCAATAACATCGTCTAAGCTACCGCGATCAGTTGCCATACCAAGAGCACTATTCGGCTGTGAACTGTGGACCAATATCGCCAGTCATGAGATGATAGCGCTGGAACGAGCACAACGTTTTGCCCTAAAGCTCATACAAGGCCTCCCCCGACACACTAGAACTGACATATGCAGTGCACTCCTAGGCTGGACTTCACTGGAACCATATATTGATGTTAAGAAGCTCCTCTTTCTTGGACAGCTGTGTAATAACAAGAAGCATCTCCTACCACGCCAGATCTTCAGGACAAGGTTGTATTTACACAAACATAACTGCGGAAGACCCAGCGCTGGTTTCATCCCAGACATTTACAGAATCCTCGGAAAACATAAACTATTGGCACATATGGAGAACTTTCTAAATTTAGGCATATTCGAAAAACAACAGAAATGGAAAAGAATGGTAAAGACAGCAGTTCACAACGCAGAGGATACCAACTGGAACACAGGTCTCAACTCTGACCCTGGCCTTCAACACTTCAAGACCATCCACCCAACACTGCGACCTCATACAGCTTGGCTGATCTCCAAAGACTATCCTGAACTGAAGAGAGCAGCAGTATCCATCATCAGAAAATGTGCGTCATGGAGACCAGGGAGAGACACAGGGGTGTGCAAACTGTGTGACAGTGTATATGCAGACCTCCTGACTCATGGTGTATGTCAATGTGAGCCAGCTACCAGCCTGAGGGATACCCTGTGGTCTGACATCTGGTGTGTTGGGCTCCTTGAGATCAGCGTATGTCTTCACGAGAAGCCAGATGTAGACATTGTTGCATGCCTGTTGTCGTGCAACCCACCAATGCAGACCGATGCAGACACCAGCCAACTATACGCCAGGAGTGTCATAAAAGACTTTTCTATCTTCACCTCTATTTTCTGTAGCGCATAGCAAAGTGCTTAAAACATTCAAATCTATCTGTAATTTATGTAAATAATGGAGGAAATAAAAGAATGTATTTGCTTATCGTGAAAGGCGACTAACGGGATCGGGTGGTCAGGCTCGCTGACTGGGTTGACGCATGTCCCAACTGCGTAGGACAGGATCGTATCCCAATTGCGTAGATCGATGGTCATCCCTGGGTTGTCTGGTCCAGATCCGATTATTTACAGACCGCCGCCATATAGCTGAATTATTGCTGAATGCGGCGTAAAACTCACTCACTCAGCATATAATCAATTAGCAGCCACCTACAGTACTTACAAATCAATGTTTACGGATGGGTCCAAAGATGGTGACGCAGTTGTTAATGTCGTTGGATCCAGAATTAAAGTGAGACCGGTATCAGCCATATAGCCACGAGACGTTTTTACAAATATATAGAAGACGATCATAAATACAAATTATGATTGGAAGTTTGAATTAGTAACTGCAACTGTTTGTGGCTGTATCCTCAAAGGAGGTTAAAGTACTGTAAAATTATTGTCCTCCTGAGAGGGTTCGTAAGTCCCAAAACATTCGAAATATGTTTTAATCGTAGAATACGTGTTCGTTATGTATGGTTAGCTTTGCTAAATTACTACGGCTGAAGGGATGTTGTAAATCCAGCTAGGGTCCATGCAGGTAGCAAAGGCACTGTAAGTCCCCATGTATGTGACCTACCTTCAGTCGTTGGTAATCTGTAGCCTGTTTTTATATTGTATTGTCATGTATAGTTAAAATATTTTAGATTCAATTACTACTTTTATATTTATATCTGTGATAATCTGGTTGTTTTACTGCCCTTCGTTGACAGAATTTTATAATTTACCTGTAATTGTTAATATATTTATAACTTGATTTAGTCACGATATGGCTGAAATATTGCCGATGTGACTTAAAATCTTAACTCACTCACTCATAAATGCAAATATTTTAAATAGGAATTTCTTTATGTACACATCTGAACATTACAGTTTTATTTACAATATGACACACAATTAATGCAAATAAGTTACAAACGAAACATGTTTATAATTCACGATACATACCGATACCTGTCAAGAAGATAAGTGTGATAACATCACGGTAAATACATTTTAAATAATCCCAAAACACCTATATCGTTTTACCACGAAAAGGCAAAAAATGTACGAAAGCCAAAGTTCACAGTAAAACCACCAAAACACACGATCTATGCAGAAGTTGACACACGTCGACCTCATGCTTTGAGTATAAAAAGTGAAAAACAACCTACCGCATTGGCAGCTGAAATTACGCACAATCACTAGATAATTGATACGGATCTGACACAATTGATCTGGCCAATTCTGTTTCAGACGGACTGTGTAGTAATTGTGTTCAGAAACGAATCGATGTAAAGAAAACGATTTCAGGAGACGATGGCATCGGTGCAGAAAATGTGCGAGGTAATATATATCCTAGCTATACAAGCGAAACAAACATTGATTTCAAACAATTACAGACAATTACAATCAAATATAGACTCGGGTTATTTTTTCAGTCACCCGTGAAGATCGGGGCTAGACCTGGTCCCGATTTCTCGAAACTTTGACCCGAGTTTTGACAATTTGAAACAGCTAAACTTTTAACTGAACTGCATTTTTAAAATAGAAAAGTCCAAACAACTTAAGTTATCTATGCCTCAAACTCAAATTGTGTACTATGTTTGAGTTTAATATCGATTTCAGTTCATTCTGGGAAATGTATTTTCCTGCATTTTCTCAGATTTGAGTAAAAACTCTAACTGAAGTCAAAACTCTTAGTTTGTTTCGAGAAATCGGGACCTGGTCTTCAGCAACCCACTAACGGGGTTTGGGTGGTCAGGCTCGCTGACTTGGTTGACACATGTCCTAATTGCGTAGACCGATGTTCGTGTGGTTGATTACTGCGTTGTCTGGTCCAGGCCCGATTATTTATGGAAGGCCGCCATATAGTTGCCTCTTACGACAAGCACGGCTTTCTGAAAACAAACTATAACCATCTGTTCCACGGTTTAATTAAGGTTGTTAGGGGTGTAAATAATATTTTTATATACATGTATTGGGAACAGAGCATTCATACCAGTAGCTGTAATTATATTAGATGAGTGTGAATTGGCTGTTTGTATTTATATTTTAGCCAACACCTGTCGAGAGAAAGGATACAAGTACTGGCACAAAGGAGACATTTGTTATAAAAGAATGCAAGGAAAGAAAACCCGTAATGCAGCATTTCATGACTGCTTGGACATCGGTGGTAATTTGTTCTCTATCAACACAGAGCAAAAACATGTATTCTTCGTCAGCGTTGTGGCCAAGGAACGTAAGTTGTAAATAAAGCTTTAAATGAAAAAAGTAACTGAATGAATAAATAAAGTTTTACGCCGCTTTTAGCTATAATCCAGCAATATCACAGTGTGAACGCCAGAAATGGCCTTACGATCAGGTGGTGGACAGCCCACATGTCCAGCTTAATGCCGTACAAGATGGTTGTAATGTTGTTCTTCAGATGTCAGAATATTTTCAGTTCTAGACAATTTGTGATTGATGTAATGTGTCAGATACTAAATGTGTCTGGTTTTGTGTCATAAACGTCAAATTTGATTGAATATCTTGTCTTTAATATTTTCTAGAGATATTAAGATATTTGTTACTGTAGCGTTATGTGTTTGCACAGCACTAACATATGTAGGTGATAACTGTGTTTTGAATCTTTATGTAATTAATAAGTGACCTCAGAAACTACATAGAGAATACTAAACGATCTCTCGTGTAATACCGTATTTAAACAAACGAGTGATCTGGTATCTAACGTTTCATAATTATGGTATTACACGGAACATCGTTTAGTATTTTATTTGTTACTCACCCAACATTAGCAAAATAATATCCCAGAATTCATCTTACAGAACGAGTGAATTACGCCGTCATAACAGGGGTCACGTGTATGAATATATTTCATTTCTAATTGTAAACATTAGTCTATTTAATTTTATTTTATTTTAAAAATAAACAAAGGGGTATGAAAAAGGGATCAAATGACTTCAACCAACATATTGATTTTTTATCTATAAATGCTATTACACGCAACAGAGCAAAGAACAGTAGACGCTTCTTCCCTAAGAATTCAACGAGTGCATTACGCCCGCGCAACTCGGTCACGCGTACTTTGGTCATGTGACCGACTGCAAGTAGTTTCACAAACACGCTATGTCATTGCACAATGTGTAATAACCTTGTAGGTTTATGGAACAGTCAAAAACGTGCACATCAGCACCAACTATGTATGCTTGTCAGAATATATACTCTCCAAAAAAGAAACGCATATGTGTATTTTCACGAATTCAGTCTGCTAACTTTAAAGTGAGATAATATTGCATGTCTAGATCAGTAGGAGCCAAATTTCACAGTATATCAATTCAAATGTCTTTTGACATGCAAAGCTTCAATAAGTGAAGGCGTCCCTTCCCGTTTTGGCGTTGTCTTCAGTACCTGTTATGGCCTCTAGGAGCACCCTAAAATGCTCTGCACTGTCTCGTCATGGATTGAATAAGTCTTTGTATTCGACTTTGTGGAATTCTGGCCCATTCCTATTGCACTGCCTGCGACAGCTGATCCAACGTCTGTTGACGTTCACGTGTGGGTCGACCGAGGTCATCCCACAAAAAGGGGCGGCGATTTGGAAGGCCATGGAAGCACTGTAATGTTCCCATTCGGAAGATACTGAATAGTAGCATGTGCTGTGTAAGGCCTGACAACATCTTGCTGGAACAACTCCCTCTGACGGTCGGTCAATGGCAGGAATCCTGTGAATCCGTAACATTGGGTCTTTCTACCAAATAACAGTTAAATTGCCTTGAAGGCGCACGAAGTCAGACTTCTTTGTGTTTGATATGGCTCCCCGCATCATAACACTCACTGCCATATTGGTTGGTGACACAATTCCGGGCAAAACGTTCAAATCGCGACGTCGATAGACACCTACATTTCCGTTACGGCACTGAAGCAGAGTCGTACATGTCACCTGTTTTGTTGAATCGAAGGTTATTGCACCACTTCACTCGTCGATGTTGCTGTGGCAGTTTGATTCCTTGGAGACTGTAACGTCATTTGCGGATGGTATCCGCGCTTCACCTGCTGCTCTTCGTGACGCTGTGGTGATCATTCCAAAAGTCAATGTCGAAAACCACACATTTCATGAGGTGTCCGAAAGAGCGTTTGATCGGGTTGCATGCTCGTCAGACGAATAGATGTGCTATTTGACGTTCAAGGGAAACGTCGAAACTCTTTACCCTAACAAGGCACAACATGAAAAACAGAGGATAGGACTCCTTGCATGTACTTTTGGCATGGAAAGACGAAAGAAAACATGAACAGTTTCTAAAATAAGTGAAGGGTGGACTCATGCCACTATGATGCTGACGTTTACCGTTGCATGCTGAGCAGAATATAATGTCCTTGGCCTTTTCCTTGTGACAAATCTGACTTCCTCTCAGCACAAAGATTTTTGCAGAATTTATGTCCTTAAAATAAAAAAGGTGTTCAACAAACGATCATTAAAATATTGGCGCAGTAAACTATTTGTTACGAGGGAGGGGTGCAAAGAGATGAACAGCCAGGTGTACGAGGAGCCAGTGCACATGTGCCGACAAAGTTATTGAATCATTTACCTGTGCTGTGCCGTCTCCATCTTTCCTCGCAATAATAATTTCTTGTTGAATATTCAATAAATGGTTGATTTCTTTTGGTAAATGTACCAAAATGTATCCTGTCAACATTTGAAAAATATGATTTTTTAATAAGTTTAATACAAAAAAACCCCAAAACTTTACGAACCTTTTATATCGTGATATTACACTTTGATGATTGTATATAGCAAAGTAATAGCAATTACAACATAAAACGTTTGCTGTTCTGAGATAAATGTCCCTAGAAATGATCTATTCTGAGTAATTTTCACATAGGTTAGAATACCCGTTACCTTGACAACCGTTGCTATAGAGCTGTACTCATCAACTCTTCAAAAATATAATTGAAGTGAAAGTTATATGTGTTCTTGCAATAAAAAGTAAAAGAATTCTGACAGCACGAATGGTTTTAACAATATTTTCAACTAAACTAGCATTTTCGTACATTTTCACATGCGATTCTGGTTCGATTTCATAGAATTCTAATTAACGGCTAATCAATGAAAAATATTGAGGCCAAATATAGAGAATGACAAAATGTCAAGTGAATATGACATTTTGGACTTATCCACCTGTGCATGATTCTTAAGTGGAATGCTACTTAATGGATTATTTTACATCTATGAAACATGGAAGGCATATTGACAAAACGGCTGATTATGCTCTTGGAATATCATGTTTTAATGCCAAATAGTAATTTGCATATATGGAAATACATTAAACAATTGTTATCAATGAAACGTTTTGAATTATTAGTCAATATAAGTTTGCTAGCAGATATCGCACTGACGGGATTAACGGTGCGGCATTCTATTGTTCCAGTGAACCGAGCCAAATGCTACATCAGTGGAATACGGACCAACTGCGTGATATCTTGTAGCGGGCCATGGGCATGGAATTGGGTACAGTACATAAACGAATCGGACTCAAGATGGCATCCCGGATCGCCAGTGTCAGGGCTTGTTAGAAACTGCATGGTGTATAGTTGGAAGAATGGGAAGTATTTGTGGGAAGAAACTGCATGTTTTGAGTATGAGCATTATTTCTGCGAAATCGCTCTGTATTGACATGTAACAACATTGTGTTACTGACATTTTCTTCAATTACAAGCTTTATAGTAAGGCCTCACCGTCCCTTCAACAGTTCTGATCCTTTTAACATATCGTATGTTGCGGTTCATATGTATCAACAGTGCTTTTGTTATTTTGGGGGCGTTTGTGTGTCGATGTTTGTGTGTTTGTTGTTTAGTGCTACTCTCGGCAATTCTCCAGTCTGTTGAAACCTTTCCAACGATTTCATTGGTTGTTGAGCATATATTCAATATTCAAGTTACGTCACGGCGGCTTGCTATTTGCACACTGGACCAGAAAATCCAGTGATTGGGCTACAACTGACACCTTACTAACCTGAGACTGGGTACATTTAGTCACCCCAGTTTTTTTTACCAGTTCTACATTTGAATTTTAAATCTGGTAACCTGCTGATGTGTCTCTCCCTCGTGGGCATCTTGTATCCTGTCCGTTATTGAGGTTGTCCGTGTATTTTTTCTGTGTTTCCTCTCGCGCTGCCCCGCCCTCCCGCCCGGAATGTTCATTCCGACGTGAAATACCAAAAACGTATTTTTATCTCAAATTTCCCTGTCGCTGTGGAAATGTATGATTTGTTTGTTTGGTGTTTAACGCCTGCAACATTCAAATCATATGGCGGCGGTCTGTGAATACTCGAGCCTCGACCAGACAATCCAGTGATCAGCATGTGCATCGATATAAACAATTGGGATACGATGACATCTGCGAGCCAAGTCTGCGAGCCAAGTCACCGTGCCTGACCATTCGATCCCGTTAGACGCCTCTGTGACAAGCAGGGGTTGGTGAAGATCAAGAACGGGAGGAAATGTATTACCTGAAGCGATAAAAAATTACTCTTAGCCATGCTACACGTAAATAAAACTGTTCCTCTTCATAAATATTTCTTCATTTAGTGAAGAAATGTTTCCACAATAACGCGATTCGATCTTCATCATACACCTATTTAATGGCTATAACCACACGATCTTAATTTATACATTTCTTTTAAAAAATTGCCCT